GGGAGGGGAGGGAGGGGGAAAATGAGGACCTAATATTGGGAGCTTAAGTGGAGAGGAAATGTTTTGAGAATGATGAGGGCAATGAATGTACAAATGCGCTTTACACAATTGATGTATGTATGGATTGTGATAAGTGTTGTATGAGCCCCTAATAAAACGATCAAAAAAAAATTTTTTTAAGTACAGCCAGTATGCTCCTTAGAAAGGAGGATGATGAGAGTGTGTCTCACTTACTTTGAATATGTTATCAGGAGGGACCAACCTCTGGAGAACAGTATACATGGACTGGTCAGTAAAAACAAGCCTCGCCTTGAGATTGACTGACACCATGAGCTCCCACAGAACAACGATCTTTGAGGGTGGTCCAAAAGCAGGCCCATATCACTCTGTTCTCTATAGTGTGCTTATGAGTCAGAGCCCACTCTACAGTGCCTAACAACCTAACAAACACACCTGAGAGGAGCAAGCTGGTGAGACACAGACAAAGGGACAGCACTTGGTAGGTACAGTGAAGCAGATGGAAGTATTGGAGCCACTTTAGAAAGGGAGGTGGTCCAAAAAGAAATCCGTGGGAATTAACTTTGCGCATGGTTGCCTCTTCATGAAATAATCATGCTATCAACAGCTTCCAGCCCTTCAACACACCTACACAAGAACCTTTCCTTCATATGACTGAATATATTGTTATGTTATTATTGTATCTGTTATGGAATCCTGTGGTACCTAGAGATATGACCTACATTTGGTATCTTACATTTGAATTCAAATGTGTGGTGTTCAAAGCACTTCCATAGCAACTTGCTTGTTCTGTGCTTATCATCCTGTAAGGCGGAACCCATCACCCCATTTTACTGATGGAGAAGGGTACCCAGTCACCCCCAGTTGCTAAGTGTTGACTAAGACTCAACCCTCAAACTCTTGACTCCAAGGTCAGTGCCTGACCTTTGGGCCAGAACTAGCTCAATGTGTTAAGTGGGAGCAAAAGGACTCAGATAGGGACCAGGGGATGGCGGAAAAGCTCCCGGAAGCACACGACCGCGATGGGGAAGCAAGGCGAGGTCACTTGTTATAACAGCGCTGCCAAGACAGAGGAGCATTTTCCATGCAGAAGAAAACAGAATTTTAATGAACTGATTTTTTTTTTTCAGGTGTGAGTGCAGTTTGAGAGCTTTTTGTTTCCCGGTTGACAGGCACAAATCCGAGTGGGTTTTTTTTTTTTAAGTCCTAATCTATCTGCATACAACAAAGTGTACAAGCAGACAGATCGATAGTACAATTGATTCTAGCAGGTCAGTGACAACCAGTGGTGACAGCTGAGCCTGACAAACGGTCTCCTGCCCGGGACGCTATCTGACAGCAGCATGCTGCAGCTCACAACACTTCAGACAGGTTTTTCTCCAGAGTTCTAAAAATCTTTGGCCAAATTAACCTATATGTTCATTATGCTAATCTTGTAAGCCATGAATGATTGAATGGCCAATTGGTAAAAAATTCCCCAGAGATTCAAGGGTTATTAACCCTTTGTTTACTCCCCTAGATTTTTTTTCGGGGGGAGGGGGGGGGGCTCATTTAACATCAGGGTTTTCCCGTTTCTAATTGGGAGCCTCCTTGTGCTGTCATTTGTCCTGCAGGTGGGCTTTGCATGGAAGACGCCCCTTTCTGAGCTCTTATGAACAGGACATGGAGACTGCATGACCACCAATACCACCACCCCTCCCCCACCATCAAAAACCAAAGAGAGAGAGAAGAGAATTGGATACAGGCACAAGAAGTCTTTGGGGAAGAGATACGGTTTTCCCTCAGACTTCTGAAGACCCTCCAACTAGTGCCCTTTTGGGCTCTTCTCACAGAAGACCCCAGAGAGAGAGCAAGGTATAAGCTCAATCAAAGAAAGCAGCCTCCCCTAGTTCTCCCAAGGCCACTGTACCCTAACACCATCTGCACAAATCTCCTCTGTGTGGAAAGCAGAGAAGTGAACGGGCCAAGTAGAATGGCACCCACGTTCAGCCAGTGCTCTTCTGGGCAAAAAAGGTTGTTCGCTCTCCCATAGAGTGAAGAAAAGCTGTAAGGCTAAACAAAGCTTACTTGGCTTGGAGTTACCAAGAGTAATAATCAAACTGTTAAAGACACTCCTGGCCTTTGGGACTGGAGGTGGGGTGGGTGGGGGGTCCCTGTTGTTCATATCCTGGAGTCGGCTCTGACTCACAGCTACCCCATGCACGACAGATGGAGGCACTGCCCGGGGCTGCAGCATCCTTTCCCTTGTTATTATGTGTAAGCCCATTGTTGCAGCTACTGGTCAATCCATCTTATTCAAGATCTTCCTCTTTTATCGCTGCTGCTCCACTTTACCAAGCATGCTGTCTCTTTTCTGGGACTGGTCTTGCCTGCTAACAGAGCCAAAGTGCATGACTCTCGCTATCCTGAGCTCTGAGGAGCGTTCTGCTACACCTCTTCCAGGAGAAATGTGTGTGTGTGTGTGTGCGTGCGTGCACTGCAGTCTGTGGTACTTTAAACCTTCTCCACCAGCACCATAGTTCAAGTGCATTCATTCTTCTTTTCTGGTTTTCCTGATTCAATGTCCAACTTTGACATGCATACGAGGTGACCAGAAATACCATGACTTGGGTCAGACACACCTTAATTCTCAAAGTGACATCTTTACTCATCAACAAGATGATGAGCAGGATGGAAAGAGATCTTGCACAGCAGATTTTCCCAATGCACTGTCTCATTTTATTTTATGACTGCTTCTTCCAGGAGATTGATTATGAATCCCAGCGAGATGAAATCCTACATAACATCATTCCTTTCTCCATTTATCATGATGTAATTTATTGGTCCAGTTGTGAGGACTTTGGTTTTCACCACGTTAACCTGCAATCCACACTGAAGGCTGCAGTTCTTGATCTTCAGCAGCATGTGCTTCAAGTTCTCCTCACTTTCAGGAGGCAAGGTCGTGTCATCTGCATACTGAAAGTTGTTAATAAGTCTCCCTCCACCCCTGATACTACTGCATTCTTCTTAATAATGTTCAGATTGGTGGATTATCTGCTCAGCAAAACGTTGGATAAGTCTGGGAAAGGCTACAACCCTGATGTGCCCCTTTCTTAATTGTCCGCCACGTAGTATCCCTTTGCTCCGCTTGACTTGAGCACAATGAAATGTTCTGGAACTCCCATTCTTTTTTATGCTACCCGCCCAATAGTTTTCCTGATCCACACAGTCAAGTGAGTTTGCATAGTCAATAAAACACAATTAACCATATTTCTGGTGTTCTCTGCTTTCAGCCAAGAGCCATCTTGTTTCATCAGCACTATAAGCCCCTGCTCCATATTCTCTTCTCCATCCTGCTTGAATTTCCAGCGGCTCTCTGTCAACGTACTGCTGCAACCACTATTGAATGATCTTAGCAAAATTTGTACGTGGTATTACAGATACTGTTTGATAAATTTTGTCATCTATTGGATGACCTTTCTTTGCAATTAAGACAAATACAGAATTTTTAGCAGTCAGTTGGCCAGGTAGCTATCTTCCAGATTGCTTGGCACAGGTGAGCAAGTGCTTCCAGGGCTTCGTCGGTGTGTTGAGACATTTCTACTGTTATTCTATTAATTCCTGGAGGCTTGTTTCTTAATAATGCCTTTGATGCAATTTGACCATTTTCCTTCAATACCATTGTTTCTTGATCGATACCATCGACTCTTGAAATGGTCGAATGTCAACCTCATCTTTCATAGTAGTTCAGTTCAGACACAGGCCCATGAAGGGGTACAGACTGGTAAGGAGGCCCATAAAGAGATGAGGTGGGCAATTCCAGATACCTAAGTTCTCCGTAGCTCCTGAAGTCAATTACCCCTGCCCATGTTTGTGATTGTTGATTCCTTTGGACTCATGACTTTGCTTAACTCTAGCTGACCGTGAGGACGAGGGGTGGAAGTGTGCTGTTCCGTAGGATATTCATGAAGTTTGAATAGTGTGCGTGGAGAAGCTCCACAGTGCGGGGTAATGTTCTGAGTCAGACTCAAGCCAAAATACCAAATTCACAGCCAACAAATGAATTCCAGCCCAGAGACCCTCCACGACACTGTAGAACTGCTGCCTGTGAGTTTCCGTGGCTATCCAGGTTTGTGGGACCAGAAAGCCTCATCTTTCTCCCGCTGTGCAGCTGGTGGATTGGAAATGCCGAGCTTGCTGTTCGCAGCCCAAAGTGTAACCAACCACATAGAAATCCAAATCAGGCCTCTGGGCGGTTTGCTTAACTTTTTGGTACCTCAGTCTCTTCCACTGCAAAATGAAGCTAATGACAATACCTAGAGCTTTTAGGTGAGAATTCCATAAATTAATGCCTGTTAACTACTCAGAAGAGTGTGGGATACAGAACACACACTTGAGGGGTCTGGAAGCTCCCTTACCCTGTGCCAGTTCCAAAGCTCTCTGCTGCCCCCTGCTGACAACAGACCAACACTGCTTGTGTAATGCCAAGTCTCTTGAGGGCCCCTCTCCTTTATTTCCTTTAAAAATAATAGGGTAGTGATTGGACAGTTCCCATTGATATGATTGAGCGATTGAACTACTAGATTGTATGATATGTAAATTATGTACCAATAAAACTGTTGGAGAGATAATACTCTTCTACAACCAAGTTGAAAACCAAGTTTAGGCCCCTAAAGTTCCACGGCTGGAGTTATACCCAGAGGGCGGCAGGGCCTGTCTTCCTCTAGTGTGTCCTTCCCCCACCATACCTATCTGTCACCAGGGCTAACACCTGTCACTTGCGGCCCTGGGAGAGCGTGGTACTCAATCCTCCACCCGAGCTTTCTTCTCTGTACGGCAGATAGTTCTGAATTCCTCATACGGACACTCACCAATAGACCAAACCTACACTTTATTCCATGCACCCCCAATTCCTCTTTCACAAAGGCAGACTGAGTAGATGTGCCCCAGCCCAAGCTGTGCTTTCTCCTGGGTTCTGGCCTGACCTGTGCAGAAGGCTCCCATGTGGCCTTGCCGCCTCCACTCTGGGCCCACCAGTAACCCCTTCTCCACACCACACTGCAGGCCAAGAGCACTTTGGGAGGGAAAGAAAATGTTGGTCTGGCATCTTCCATCTACCTTTTCACCATTTTCAACAGCTGTAGGATAGATTCTAAAGTCCATCACATGGCCAAAGCCTTGGCAAGATTTTCCATATCTGTGTGATCCCTGCCCGCTGCTCCACAGTCATTTAGCCTTGCACACTGCCCTCCTTCTCAGCGCAGGGGCCACTCTGGCCTTCGCCTGGGGCTAGGACCCTCCAGGTGCACCTCCGCTGCAGGGCTCTCCCTCAGGCCACTCCAACACCCTCACCTGCCTCCCCTTGTCCCATTTCAGTCTTCAGATCCCAGCTCAAAGATTACCTCCTAAGAAAACCTTCCCTAGCCACGCCCCTACACATGTATACACGCGCGCACACACACACACTCTCTCTCTCTCTCTCTCTCTCTCTAATTCTGATTAGTCTGTATGCTCAGTAGGATCTGTGTATCATTTTAACAGACTCTCACCATAGTTCTAGATTTCTATTTGTAATCATTTGATTAATGGCAATCTTCCATGACTAGAAACTCCACTACAGTTGGAATCGTGTGTACTTTACTTCACTATTGTATTCTCATTACCAGAAAAATATTATGTAGGTAACAGATAAACAATAAGCAATTAATGAATAAACAAATCCACTAAAAGTCACACTAAGTGGAATCTTAGCCAGGTGTCAAAAGAAATTATAATATATATACATATGTAATCCAATGTTGTATACTCATTCCATTTCTACCACTCATATATAATTTATTCAGATAGTAGATAGAGATATAGACAAACAGACAGACAGACAGCAAGAGTTTCTCTGACACACATTGAGCAAGAAGCCAAGATGATTCTCTCGACCCATACCTTCAGTGCTCATGTCTGGCGTGGGCATCCAGATGTAGACCAAGCCCTCTTCCCTGTACAACTTCATCATGGTGTCTGGAGTCATGGGTTCTGGGGAGCGGTTACAGCCTGAGCAGTTCTGTACAATGTCCCATTCAGTCTGGAAGTTCATTATAGCCGTAATCCCCAATTCGTGCTTCAGTTTGATGGTTACGTGTTCCAATTGGCGAGGGCAGCTGCCCAGCCAGATATTTGGTAGAATTCTAATAAGAACATATAAAATCAACAATTACTATTATTGTTATAATTTGAGGTCTGAGGTGCGGCATGAAATGTGCAGTATGAAAATTCATTTAACCTTTAAAGGCAGCATGGGGAAGCATATTTTCAAGAAAATGAGGACCAATTTTATATTTGAAAGAAAAAATGGGTTTTGTTGCTATTTCAGGAAGAGACAAATAATTTGATGAACCAGAATTTCAGGTAACGGGCATTAAAATAAGTCCATGAGGTTGGGTTTACTCCATGAATGCATATGAAGTTCACTGTCATGAAACCCAGTAGCATGTTTCAAATACTAACAATAAGAGAACATTCATATAATGATATCCATAAATGCTAGAAAACATTTGCTGCAATTCAAGTCACTCCTGTCTTAAATTCTAAATAAGAATTTCAATTATTCAGAAATTTTTAAACAGACTACAGACCTGACCACTGCCATCATGTTGATCCCAACACTCAGCAACCCGACATAGGGTTTCAGAGATGGTCCATCTTTACTGGAACAGATCGCTTCACATTCCTCCCGATGGTCAATTGATGGTTTTGAACTGCTGACCTTGTGGTTACCAGCTCAAAGCCTAAACTAACCAGGTTCACATTGCTTTTAAGTAACATTTTAAAAAACAACTATTTCATCTAGTAGTCAATATTGTTCTCTACATTCCATCTAAAATTACAGATAAAGACAAACGTCATACCTCAAAGTGGGGGGTTAGGGAGGTGGAGAGAAATCCCATTCCTAAAATTGGATTCCATGCCCAAAGTTTCTGATTCAGTAGGTCTAATTTGGGAGTCCAAAAATTTCAATTTCTAACAAGCTCCCAGGTGATACTGAAGCTGCTGGACCAGGGACCTTAATTTGAGAACTACCCTCCTGAGATACAACTATAAAAGCTATGTAAACTATGAAAAATATTATGAAGGTATTGTGATAAGGGGTGAATATACAAAAGCAAGTAGCTTTTATTTGTTTTAGCTATAATCAGGTAGAAAAGGAATGGGGGAAATCCCATTTAAAATAATACAATTATAAAACACCTAACAATACATTAATGTATACAGACAGATTTGGAGAATTAAGCCAAAGCCTACTGTTATAGGCTTTGTTGAACAACCCTCTACCAGTCTTACTGCGGTATAATAGAAAGGACACTGAACCTAATTCAGAAAACCCAAACCCAAACCAGATGGACAGCTGTAGAGCCTATTTCAATTCACAGCAAGCCTTTAGGAAGGAGTAGAACTGCCCCTTGAGGTTCCCAAGGTCATTATCGGTACCAGAAGCAGACTGCGACATCTTTCTCCCACAGAGCGGTAGGTGGGTCAACCATGGACCAGCTGAGTGCTTGACCACTTTGCCAGTAGGGTCCTTAATTATATTATCAAAAAGCTGAAACTGACTTATACCACTATTATTGATTATTATGACAATTGAATATTGTGTAATATTCAATAGTACTCTGGGTATGCTTGGAATTTAGCTTGCTTCTCATGAATATTGAGTTTAATATTTTACCATTCCATTCAAGATTTTGTCAATAAAATTCTACTTTTGCTCATAGATTATATTTTTTGGCTCTATAACCCAGTTTCCATTCCTTTTGTCCAGCATAGAGTGCTTTATTGTGGATAATATTGAAGAAAAACAAAAGGAATTTCAGAACGCTTAATTTTGCTCATGTAGAACCTATACATAGACCAAGAGGTGGTTGACAGCCAAAAGATATAATCTCTGAGCAAAAGTAGAATTTTATAATTGATTCTTCCTCCATAGATGCTAGGAATCAGAATACATACTAAGAAGTTGCTGTGGTTGGGTCCATCGGAACATTTTGACTCAAAGTGATCCCATATGACAGAGTGGGGCTGTTCCACGTGGTTTTTTAGATGCAATACTTACAGAAGCTGATCACCATGGTTTTCTCTTACAGAGACACTGGGTGGATTCAAACTCCCAATCTTTTGATTAGCATGCTAGCACTTAATCATTGTACTACCAGGTCTCCTTACTTAAGAAATTAGTAAGACATCCACTAAGTCTGCATGGAAGAAGCACATGACCTGTATGATCCAAAGATTGTTAATAATAAAATCCAAATCTGAAGGTGGGAATGGTACAGAACTCAAATTCTCAAAAACAGCTTTGTAGAAGGCTGTGGATGACAGGGGAAGCCCAAAATCCATTTGCGGAGTCCCCACCTGGATTAAGCCTCCAGTGAATCCCCTCTGGTCGTAATTCAGAGATATGAATCGCCTTGCTGTCAGACAGAGGGCATTCTAAAGTCAATCATAGCAGATGAAACAAAGTTAAAATGCAATACCTTATTTGATCCCCTTTTGACCAATTTTAAAGTTGTTTCAGTTGTTAAATTTTCTGCTTTCCTTTTGATTGAGATTTTTCTATGGATTTGGGGGGGGAGGAGGGGGTGTTGCTGTTGGTTTTATTTGTTAGTTTGCTTCCTTTTTGTGTTTTGTATGGTTTTCTGTACATGAAATCCCAGCAAGGCAAATCTATAGAGATAGCGACAGGGGCACAGCAGGGAACGATGGGGGCCATGGGGACACGAACAGAAATGAGTATGAGAAGAAAATGTTCTGAAATTGATTGTGGTGATGGTTGTACAAATTTTCTTACTAGGATTGAATAATCATATTGTAATGATATGTCAGGTATATGCCAATAAAACTAATTTTTTAAATTAGTATAAAACATTCATGATTTTTTAAAAGCAAGATGTTCTGGACCTAAAATATACACAGCTAAATAACAATTATGAAAATAGGCAGTGCATCTAAGGAGAGAGAATTAAAGTTATAAAGTAATTTAATATGGCATGTTGAGACAAAGATTGGACTTGCTAGAAATGCAAATTGTAGGATTTTGTTTAATGTGACAGCTAAAGTGGCCTGTATGTGCATCTGATCCCAATGTGTTGTCTCTAATAGAAGGTGCTCTATTTCTAGTTACACGATACACTGGAGGTAACAAAATTCATGATCTAGTTCCTAAGCAGTAATTAAACCTTTACTTAGGCATGCCAAAGAGAATTATTTGACACCACTAAAAATCAATGTTTACATTCAATGCTTTTCCTTTTCTGGTAAAATATTTCAAACAATTTTTAATGAGGATTTTTATTTTTAAAGGTAGAAAGATGCTTGTTGATACATAGGACTTGGGTGGGCAGGGGGAATCCTCTGTAGAGATAGCTTTAATTCAAGACACACAAAATCCAAATATATCATGACGGAATAACAATTATAGCATATAATTACATAGGAAGTTATATTATAAACAAGTATCGTGTTTGTAATTCCCACCAAAATAATGAGTGTATTTTCTCTTTTCCTGATGGGCCTGTGTAAGAGAAGTTGAGAGAAGATGCTAATAGGATTCAATTGTGAGTAGCTGCTGACATGGTGAACTGTGATTGTAAAAGCTTGGAACTCTAACATGGGATTAGTCAATTTTCCTGTTGTGCTGGGTATGAAATGAGCAATCGCAGAAGAAAGAAGGAGGGGATCTCCTTATCATCAAGAGAGATGAGCCAGGAGCGGAATGCATCCTTTGGAACCCAAAATTGTTGCACATTGAACCTCCTTGATCCAGGGGCTAGCTGTGACATCAGAGGGGTGGCAGAGGAGTAGTGGCAGCAAAACCAAGGGCCCGAGCATGAGACAGAGCAGTGGACTTGGAACCAATACAGCTGAGTTATTCGGGGCCCATGGAACCAATACAGCTGAGTTATTCGAGGCAGGAAGCTAGTTTGTGGAGTGGGGTGCCACCAGGTGCTTAATTGGGAAAGCTAGGTTTGCTGACACATTGAGACAGTTGAGAACCTCCAGGTTAAGGCTTATGAAGGTGTGGGGTGCCATTTAGACATTTACTGGCAGCCTACAAAGAGCTTTATAATGTTGCCCAAAGCAGGACAGAGGCCAAGCCAAGAGGTTGGGACCAGAGAGAGGCCTGCCTGTGGGCACAGCAGAAAAGAGGCTGTCCAGAGCAAACACCTGCATCCTGGGCATTTCTCACCTGAATTGTAACCTGTTACCGTCCCTAATAAAGCCCATAATCATGAGTATGGTCTGTGAGTTCGGTGGGGCCATTGCAGTGAACCATTGAGCCTAGCTGAAAAGTCAAGAGTGCCGTGGGGGGATATTGAGTCAGAATTGGAAAGAGTTTGGAGAGTAGAGGCATGTCTGACCCCAGCCTGTTAAGAACTGGCCTTGGGCAGTTGATGCGGATGATTCTTTTTCTTCCCTCTTTTGAACTTGGGGGGAAAGATGGGACTTTCTACTCCTGTAAAGAGTTACAGTCTCAAAATGCACAGGGGCAGTTAGCTATGAGTCTGCATCTACTCAAAGGCAGTGAGTTGGATATTTATGGTCTTGGGAACTTGGAGGAGGTCAGATTGCTGCCCACCCCCTTCGGTTTTTTTCTTACAAAACCATGAAGATGTACTTTATGACTAATTCATGATCTATCATGAGTTATATCAAGGATTTCTGGCAGCTCTCCTTTCAATTATTTGGAAAGGTCAAAGAGAAAGCAATGTACCAAATGGGTATAGACACTAAGTCAACACCAGGCAAAAGTTCTCAAACCTTTCCATTCAAGTCAAAGGAGGTGCTTTGGAGAAAACATCTTTTACAGCAGGAACTGGTGGTTTCCAACTGCTGACCCTTAGGATCAAAGCCTAACACCTAACCACTGCACAACCAAGGCTCCTAGTGTCTGCCAAGTCTCGTTGCCATCTTCTGAAAGTCCAAAGGAAATCCATTTCTGAGTCACGACCAATATCTGAGGTAGTTATAGCTATTTAAAAGAATATACTTTTAAAAAAAGAATATACTTTTGCAGAACTATTTTATTAAAACTTGGGGTTGGGCTATTTTCACTGTACTTCAACAAGGCTGGATTTAAAGAAAATCTACCCCAGTAATATTCCAATTTGGCTAAAAACTAGGCAAAAGAAAT